CCGGTACCGGCCCGAGGCCCGGGGGTTGGGGACCGCTGAGCTAAACAGTCAAATTTCCAAAGTCGGGAAGTCATTTGTTGGGTACTCTTGCATTGTAGTCTGAAAACAACATGTTTGTGACATGTTGCATCTTATTGTTTAATTTTTAAATTATACGATTACTTCTAATTATTAGCTTTACCTGATCTGTGTCACTCTATATTGCGGGACAAGTAGGAGCTACAGCCTAATGCTAAACGACAAATCCAAAGCAATCTCCCTCATAAAGAGGCTAAACTTTTTTCATGATTAACCAAATATTTCTTTTCCAACTTGAGTAGACGTGTATGTGACTTTTTCCAGCTGCACAATCACATCGCATTGGTTGCACATTTGGTTATTAGCTAGCATAATAGATGTAGCCGTTATGATGCCATCGAGTGGTTATAAACACAGAAGGAAAGTCTTTAGAGGTCAAGTTAGAAAGTAATTGTTCCAAAGATTTTTATAGGACTGCAAATCCTCTTGTAACGACAAGTATCGCCATCATGTGGCCATAAAAAGAATGCAGGTTTAAAGCACAGCTTTGTCCATCTTTTATAGTCTTTGGTTCAGATACTAGCTAATAAATGCTAAAGAACAAACAGAGAAAACACTAAAATTCAAACAAAGTACACAGACCACTGGTTTAATTTTGTTCTCTGTTGGATCTATACACAATATTGTCTATTCGACTGGCTAGCGCTGTTGCTAGGATTTCTATGTGGTATCCCTGCATTGCTCTGCAATTTCACATCCAAAGCTTTGGGTTGCGATGGAATTTCTATCGTCAGGTCGATCTGCTCTCTTCAAGTAGGTTAAAGGTAGAAGAAGCAACTAGAAATGTATAGTAGGAAACAATAATACTGAAGGAGCGAATCCAAGTCATTGCAGGTTGTGCTGACGTGACATGTAGTTACTCATATAGGGAAGTTATGGTGTAAGATTTCAGAAGGATTGGCAGTTACATCATACTCTTTGCTCAACATACAGATTTAATCCAGAAGGATAAATCCCACTTTAGCTGCTCTACATTTGAGCATGTTAACAAGAGTGCATGGGAACTAACTCACTTTAAGAGGCAGCCTCTAGTGGTCATTCAGTGAACTGCAGACACTTCCATGCACGTGTCATTTTTTCAGCTCCGTTGCCACCACTGAGCAGAAACACATGCATGAGCCATTCTGTGGAAGTAGGTAGGTTATTCTGATTCAAACCCACATATTGCATGAAATATATATGAATGTAAAGCTGAAAAGAGTCTCAAAGGACTCTTAAAAACTACTGCTGTTGATCCAGTTAGAATGAGCAAATGAACTATCACCATGGCACCTGCCTAATCCAGTGATCTCCTGGAGTTCTTGTTAATACACTGGCTACTACTTAGGATGAGGTGATCTCTTTATAAAGAAAAACATGTATGTGCATGAATTCAGCTTCCCATAATTCACAAGTTTTAGCTCAAATTTAATCTCACTTGCAGAAAATACAAAAAAGAGAAAACAATTAATTTGCTGCTTTTTTACTACAATCCTGGAGGACTGCATCAAGAAACGTGCACACACGCAGCAGTAGCTCCTCCATAAATGGCTGAGTGTTTTCTTGCCAGGCTCTACAATCATTGCTCAACCCAGAAGCCGTGGAGGTTAACCTCAAACGTGTGAATGGGTGCATCGCTTCTCAAATATTTCATAATCAGGAGGTAATTACACTAAGTGATAGTTATGACATTCTTATGATTTCAACAGCCATGAGAACATTTAATAGTTAACTTTTTTGTTTTTCTTGGGAGCAGCAATTTTTTACATGCTACTGTGGAAAACAGACAGCTTTTTGGACGCACTGAACAGTATCTGAACTAAACAGCAACTGAAAATTATAATAATGGAACACACAGCACAAGTTCCTTTGTAACATCCCTTTAAAAACAACATTAACTACAGATACTACAATGTTTTTTGTTAGTAATATTATTTTATTCATACAATAAAAAGATCAGAGGCAAGGAAATGTGCAACATAAGAAAAGAAGTCACGGAATGAGCTCTTCCTACAAATAAAGTCTATATAAACAAACATTATCATAATTAGTGTTTGTGCACATGTACTTTGCCCCGACTCTTTTTGTATACATATATATAAAATCCCAATGGAGTGCTAGAGGCATCACAAAGAGACTGCAGCACAAGCAGACACCCAGATACAACAAGCACTGCGCATATCTCTTATTTTGCATTATCACATAATGCTGCAGAGGAGGAGACTGCCTGCTTGGTGTCTGCAGCTCAGAGAAGCACACAGAGCTTCAGGGATGAGAAGGATGCAGAGAGATGGGATCTATATCTCGTTTGCTTCCTCCTGCCATCCTTTATCAGTCTTCTGATCCTCTGCAACTGAGTGAAGAGAGAGAAATAAAAGTGAGATGAGGCAGGCGGGCAAAGGAGGCATGCTGCCACAGGAGAGCGCCTGTCTAGTCGACCTATTTTTAGGCACGCTGTGCACCAGCTATACCATAAGCCTCTGATGCCAAGATGAGAAGCAAAGCTCCCGCTACTTGTTGAAAGACTTGTTGTTTATCACCGTGGGCACCGTCCTCCCGCGGTTCATTTCAGAAGGCAAGGTTAGCAACTTAGACACATAACTTTCTTAAACTTTGCCCTGCGTTTTTTTTAATGATTCAGATAAAGGAAGGATAATAACTTTGTATTCATTCACCTAGAGAACTTTTATGATGCAAACATTCTGAGCAAAAGCATTGTCAGAACTGAACAACACCCGATGCACGTCACAGTTTTACAAGCATGCATAGTCGAGGTAAAAAGAAAGAACGCCCTCTTTAAATTGTAAGGTTTTATGTCTCAGGACATAATAACGATAATCTGGTCCTTAACAGGTCTTAAAATGCTGGAGATTTAGAGCAAAACATGACATATTTTTTTTATTAAGTCAAAACACAGAAGCAGCATGCAGAGTAAATACAACCTCACTAATTCCAAGTTTCAGGACCTTAATAAAAGCAGACGTTTTGGCACTTTGCTGGTCTGGAGCATTCAGGTGTGTTAATGCCACAAAGGAAACATCAGCAATGAGATTAAAGAAGCAATTGTTGCTCCCCATCAATCTGGGAAGGGTTTAATTTTTAAACAATTTCAGAAAGAAGTAGAAAGCATTCAAGATAGGTGCCGGTGTTCCCAGGAGTGGATCCAAGAGCTTCTCATGCTCTACAGGCCTCGGTTAGCATATTAAATGTTGAAGCTCATGACACTAAAATTCTAAAAAGACTGAAAAAGTCTCGTTTGGAAGCATTGCCAGGAGACGTGTCTGTTCTCTCCACATAAAGAACTTGGCAGCACAGCTACACGCGTGGCGACACCGCCGTGATGGCATGTTTACAGCCACGAGACCTGGGCCCTTGTAGTCATTCGGGTACTCATGAACTCCAATGCATACCAAAGTATTCTAGGTCAGCGGTGCCCAAACGTTTTTGTGCCACGGACCGGTTTATGTCAGACAATATTTTCACAGACCGGACTTTAAGGTCTCGCTGATAAATACAACAAATAAAACCAGTACCAAAAAAAGGAAGATTTATTCATAACACACAGAAAAAGACCCAGGGAAACTTAGATAATGATAAAAACAATTAAAAAATAACGATAAAACCCCTGAAAACCATCAATTTCACACCCAAGCCTCAACTCTCGGGGTTCGGTGCCAAACGACTCACGGACCGGCCCGGGGGTTGTTGTTACTCGCTGTTCAAGAGTAACATATGAGGCAATCTACCCAATAGCTGAAGCTCGGCCAAGACTGGATCGTTCGAAAGAATCAAGGTGTTGCAAAAAGTTCTGTAAAGAAAGCTGTGCATAAAAAATGATCGCAAACCTCAATGAACTAAAGTGACTTTGCAAAGGGAATCAAAATTCCTCCACAATAATATGAAGGACTGATAAAGTTATACAGAAAATGGTTACTTCAAACTGTTCCTGCTAAAGGTGTCTCCTCAAACACCTGAATCATTCAGTTTGCTGTAGTGTTTGGTGCCCCGTGGAAGTGTTTTTATTGTGACAATTGTTTCATGTGATGCTTCCGATTCCACGCACGCACAGATTAGCTGTAAAACTACTTAGTCACAGGTAAGTTTGGTAATTCAGTTTTGAATCAGCGCATTTTAACGACACTCTCTGTTATTCTGTGGTTACATCTGCTTGACTGGACTCGCATAACGTTATTTCGAAACTTTGACTGTGACTCTTCAAAGAGTGGAGTCACAGACTTGCACATCAGCTCTCCTCAACCCTCGACAGGATATGACGAGTAAAAAAAATGTAACGTTTCAGCTTAAAGCGGCCTCACCGTTGAAGGATGCCTCTATTTCACCGCGTGGCTCCACTGAGTCTAGATTGCCACAAACTTATCAGAAACCAGTCTGCAGAGGGAGAAAAAGGACAAAATGTGTATTATAAATCACACTTGGTACGATGATCAAAATGTAAACACTTTGTGCTTCTGACTAACCTTTTCCTTTCTGCTACATTTGTAACTGACAGCTGGTGAAAGTGACAGACGTGTGTGCGGCGTGAGTGTTCAATGTCAATCCTGCTCTGGTGATGTGGTTAGAAACAGGAAAGGAATACTTACGCTCCTTCTTCCTTCAGCAGACTCACGAACTTCCTAACTCTGTAGTCAGGATCCATCTGAAAAGACAGATATGCATGCTTAGTGCTAACAGTCATACGATAGAATAACTATATATTTTATTAGCAGGTTCTTTGTGAACATGCACGGGTTTCTTCAGGTGTTAAACATCACAGCGGCATGCTATCAACGGCGGCGGGTCCTGGAGTTCATGTTTCAGTTTGGATTGGAAAGAAGGGGAGGGAAAAGGAAGCAAAATTAATGGGAACCTATGCAATAACTTACAGTATGTCTGGAATCGCCTGTAGCAACCAGAGTTAAGACATGAGAGCAGTCAGAAACGTTGGAATGAGAGGAAAAAAGATAAAGACCGCAAATGTGTACGTGAGTGCGGCTGTTTGCAGCATGTCTCGGCAAACACAGGTTCATACTTCTTCAAGCTCAGAATGGGGTGTGTGTGTGAGGAGGGGGGGGCACTGAGCATAGCTGCATTGGAGCATACCACAGCAATTACACAGCCCCAACAAACAGGCTGCACACATAGGCAACATAACAGAGACACCGTCGGGAGAAGAAAGGAGCTAATGGTGTGATTTGGGTTTGTCTGATGCTGCTGGTGGGATGTCCGTCATCGGTTTGGTAAACAAATATTACTTGAAATATGAGGTTTTGAGATGGACGAAGAAAATTCATCGTGGCTTTGAGCAGCAGACATCAACTAGCTGGAGTGAAACATTTCAAGTTTTAAAACTTTACTTCAGGAGTTTAGAAATATCTGAGAAATTTGTAAGAAACAAGGGAAAAAACGAGAGAAGCAAAGAACGAGATGATCACTGGAACGTTGATTTCCTGTTGTGACGTACGACAGCGACTTAATTAAATCCTGCGTGATCTGTGATCTCCTCACAGGTCACAGGAGTAAATGGTAAATGGCCTGTATTTATATAGCGCTTTTAAGAGTCCCTAAGGACCTCAAAGTGCTTTACATATCCAGTCATCCACACATTCACACACTGGTGATGGCAGCTACATTGTAGCCACAGCCACCCTGGGGCGCACTGAGAGAGGCGAGGCTGCCGGACACTGGCGCCACCGGGCCCTCTGACCACCACCAGTAGGCAACGGGTGAAGTATCTTGCCCAAGGACACAACGACCGAGACAGTCCAAGCCGGGGCTCGAACCGGCAACCTTCCAATTACAAGGCGAACTCCCAACTCTTGAGCCACAATCGCCCTTGTGGACACACAAATCATCATTTTTGCAAATCGAGTAACAGGATATTTAGTTCCTGTTTCTATTTGTTCTACCTGTTACATTTTATTTTTCCTTCTCTGTTTTGTTTTCACAAAATAAAATCCCCACAGCTGGACATGATGTCACAGGTTACTACAGTGACTAATTTGATACTGTTTGCCTATTTCAGTGGAGGTAAACAGTTAAAGGATGACATCTTTTAATTTCAAACAAACTTATTACTATTACTTATTTGGAAGAAATTGTACTAACTAACCGGGACATCTTTTTTTCATTTTGAGCTGCATATTTATAGAAAAGGGCTCAAGCAGTTTTGCATAACTCAAAACTACTGGGCTGCCCTGCAGCGGTTTATCTTCTGTCACCCTTTAATTTAAGCATCATCATTTTTTCCTGATTGGCTGCCTTTTGTAAACAAAAGGCTTAAAAGGCAGGTGGGTGGAGCTTCTATGCTCACAAATAAAGTTCATACAAGGCAAAGAGCAGGAAAATAGAACCGCTGAAAACCGCACATTTAGAGCAGTTTAAAGCTTTTGGCTCACAGGGATTACTTGTACTCACTCTTACTGCTGCAAAATCATATATTTTGTCTGTAATGGGAAAAAAACAAAAAAAACAAAAGTCCTCTTTAAAGCCTCCACCAGTCCAAAGACCGATCAGTAAATGATTTATGATCAATCAGGTTGATTATGCTTGTCTGACAGGATCAATGTCCCTACAGGCTTTGCAAGTAAATCATTTAGGGGAACAGGGCAGAAAAGAACTACACCTCCTGCTACTGTACAGAAAAATGCACAAAAACAAAACTTGGAGGCCAAGCCACAAATCCCTTTAGGCAAAGTAAGGAAGGTGAGAAGACTCTGTACCCACTGTATCCCTCTACATAACGGGTGGGTTGAAAGGAGACCAAAAATCTGCTATGACTTGGTGGTCTATGTTTTCATTTTTGTACACGTCTCCTTGATTTATTTTTTTTTTTTAAACCTACCCCTCACATTTGCCCCTTCAGCGGCTGATCTTTGCTTAAATCGTAGGTAAAACCAGACCATGAATAGCGTCAGACTTTTTCTTATTCGTAACACGTGAATATAACTTGGAAAGCTGAGCAGAGCACGGTTTCACAACTATGAATGTATTGGAGAGAGTGGTTTGTGAACTAGAAATGTACTGGATCACTCTGCTCAACAAATCATCAGCAAAGCCACACAGTTTTTCACTACAGCTAATAGATGACAGTTTTTTGTGCCTGACAGACGGATCCTGTTGACTGTCGAGAATGCCGGCCAGATGTCGAAGAAGAGGAGGGACGGCCTGCTCAAGCTCAGGCCACACCGAGAGAAAAAAATAATAATAACGCAAAGCCTGTGCCAGTATGAAATCTGTGTTTTGAATAAAATGGGAGGTGATGAGTGAGTTATTGAAAAGACAGTTTTCTTGTGCTTCACAAGTTTCGTACACCCAAAATAACTTGACCTTTCTGTTGTCTAACACAACTAGAACACATGGAGCTGCAACAGCATGTCCAAAAATAGTCAAAAAGGTCACATTTTAAATAGATTTTTAGACAAACACTATAATAGTTGCTTATACAAGACATTTAATACAAGGTATGACATCCAAGCAGTCCAGATGTGTTGTTTGAGGAACTGTTTTCCATTCCTTGATGAGCATAGTCTGCAGCTATGCTCAACTAGGAGCGGAGCCTGCAACACGCTGGGTCGATGCACATCGCGTTCCAGGGTTTCGATATCCAGAAAAGCCTGCGCTACTCTGGCAGTGCAGGGTTTGGCATTGTCCTGCTGAAACAGCTGCAGGGAAGGGTGCTGTCACAAGAATGGCACAAGTACAGGTTGGAGCACTTCATCTTGTTACCTTTGTCCGATCCGATTTCCACCGAGAACAATCACATCTGAGGCGGCGCTCTCATGCAAAGCTGCAGGAGAGGCTCGGATACATATGGCAACGTGCAGAATGCCACAGCCCAGCCTCGGTCAACATCATCACACCGTCAGTCGCGGTACTCATAGCAACAATGTGCACACACCGTTTCGTGTTTTTTCTCTTGGCTTGAGGATACATGAGTTAATTTGTGTTCGGTACTGAACTGAAAACTAGTCATAGAAGATGTTTTGGGTTTGTCTATGAGATATATGAGATCGCTGATATATTTCTGTTAGATCTGCTCCTTCTGCACATTTTGAGCACTTATTATCATTGCTATGCAGATGACACTCAGTTGTATCTCTCTTTTAAACCACAAGACGTTTGTAAGTTACAGATTTCTCAGAGGTGCTTAGACTCTGTTAAAAGCTGGAGGCTAACTATTTTCTGATGTGCCCCTGACAGATTTGTGTCTGAGGTAATGGAAAGTCTCCTTGCCACATTTCCTAAATCTTCTATCAGCAACCTTTGGATAATTTTTGACTCAGCTTTCACTTTGGACGGTCATGTTAAATCTCACTTAAGAAATATTGCCAGTTTCCACTGTATCATGATGGAAATTGTTATTAATGCATTTATTTCATCACTTGTATAATTGTAATTCACAGTTTACTTGTCTTAACAAAGCTTCCTTGGAACGTTTGCAGCCTATTCAATAAAAGCCGCTGCGAGGCTTCTGACTAAGTCTTCTAAATATTATCATGTCACTGCCCATTAACTTCTGACTTTAAGATTCTGGATTTGACTTTTAGAATGGACAAGCACCAACATAAAGAGTAGAGTAGAGTGCACTTATGCATCCATATAGCCCCAGCAGGTGCCTGATGTCATGTGATCAGGGCCTGCTTGCTGTGCATGCACGGCTAAAAACTAAAAGAAGACCGAGATTTTGCAACAGTGGCTTCAGAATCTTATGATCTTTTTTAAAAAGCTGCCAAAAACTCATCTTTTTGTGATGCAATTTTACCAACCTACTTAAAATAATCTCTTTTGGAATAGATTTAAAGCAAAGATATGCTTATTTTTGGAAAAGGGAATGAAAGCACATCTGACAATGCAATGTTAAAGTACAAAACTACACACAATGGGTATGGGTCATCACAGGCTGATGTTTAAAAACTGTTTGCTGTGTACCAATGATGATCGTTAATGATAGGAGACATGAAAGTGTGCCCCCAGTGTCAAACCATCCACTTTACATAAACCCACAAATATTATATTTTTTTAAAAAGAAGACAAAAAAAGTTGCATTACCGCAAAATTCATACTAACTACAACATAAAACTAACTAAACTGTTGAAAAAAGTCAAAATAAAGACCATAATAGTTTCTCACCTGTGCCGCCATTTCAATCAGCATCAGCAACTTTTTAATGCCGATCCCCAAGCGTTGGCCCTGTACAGCTTTAGCTATCATGGCCCGTTCTTTCTCATTGAAACTGCCCAGCAGCTGTGTAAAGCAGAAAGAGACACAGGAACGATCAGCGCGAGAGAGAAACACTTAAATTCTGTCATTCTAAGGAATTCTAATAAAAAAGCAAGCATTAAAAAATGTCGCCAAGTCTGATGGTAAGAAGAAATTCACAGAAGAAAAGCATCTTGCATCATAGATGCAATTCTTAGAAACAAACATTAGAAATTTGTAGTTTCATAGTTCTGTAGTTTACCTCAAACGCCTCCATCAGCTGCTCTACTTTTGAGATGTTGGGGATGTGGATGGTGGTGCTGAAAGCATCCAACATCTCCATTTCCTGAAGGACGTCTTTACGACTTGTGGTGCCAATGATGAGCAGCTTACGACCCTGAAAGAGAAGCAGATGTCATTTTGTCTGGACTTTAACCGTTCCCTCACATTCATCAGCTGGTCTCCTCCTATTGGTCATAGGAAAAAGAGAGACCAATGATGTATAACCATTTGATAATGTACAGGAAAAGCACAGGAGAAGTCCAGATGAAAGTGTGTGATGGCTCTAACAGAGGTTCAAGCATCATGATTGCGTGTCCTGGATGGATTCAACACTTATCTAGAACTCAGACTATACAAAAACTGGGCACACCTATGTGTCACCTATGGTCTTTGAGCCATATTATGAAGCCTTATAATAACAAACATTTTGGCCACCCCAGTTCCAGCATTTTTCTTTCTCTGACCAACAACCTGTCCATCATTTGTATAGTTTTACAGCTTTAAGGCAAGTCAGCTGACACATGGGTGTAACATACACCTGGTCTATACAGGTCTGTGAAGGTTCTCAGTCATCCAGGTCATCGTAGTCAAAGGAGCTTGCAAAGAAAAGCGTCTGGACTTCTTTGAGTTACTTGAAGACGTTTCACCTCTCATCCGAGAAGCTTCTTCAGTTCTAAGGTCAAATGGTGGAGAGTCCCAGATTTAAACCTAGTGGGAGTTTCCCCCCACAGAGGGACAAAACACGCAATCACAATGCCAACCCTGCTACTTCAGCAGTGTTAACTTCCTTTAGAATACAGTCTTTGATAAAGTCAAAGTTATATATATAACAACTTTACTGCTTGACAGATATGAAGGTGAAAATCTTCATTTTATCTCATTTGTATTACTTTTATCGACATGTTTCATTGGTATGTGATGTATCTGATGCTGAGAGACCACAGGCCTGTAAAAACAAGCTGCACCTGCTTAGACAACAGTAATTTTATTATTAGCTAAACAACAGTTATTAAATGTAGTCCATGAGAAGCTGATTTAATGGCAGATTTGTATAAAAATTTAAATTAAAGTTGTTTTGCATTTTGTTTTCTCACTCATATCCACCCTATTAAACATGTTGCTCCTTTAATGGCTTACACTGCAACATCAGCACTTTCTGTATCACACCGGGTTATGTTCTCATTGCCCGCGACTACAAACAAGCCAATCAGAAGTGTCGAATTGTGAACATTTTGTAATTAATTTCTCATGTTATCCAAATTTTGATGAAGGCAGTCTTTGATGCCAAAGCTCTTATTGGTCATTGGAATACAGGGCGACTGATTTCGTCATATTCTGGAGATTTCTGGCTGCCCAGGTGAAGGCCGACATTGAGCAGGGGCTCGAAGTCACAACAGGAGTTTGAAAAATAGAAAACAATAGAAAGGAGAAAAAAAGACAGCATAATGCAGCATAATGGAGCAGAGGGCAACAGTAGAGAAGACAAACATGAGCGGGGAAGAAAGAGGGGAAGCAAAAGAAATGTCGCTGCACTAAGCCGACGAGTTGGAGGACGACCAGAAGAAGACCAAGGAGGAGAGGCAGAGGAGTGGCGAGCAGACAGGGGGATTATGGCTGCCGCCTGCCCCCCCATGGCGTGGGGGGTTGTGATGCTGCATGCAGATGAGGTGCCACACAGGCGGCAGTGCTGCCAGGTCCTGGCTCTCTCACAGAGCCCATTCTCCTCCGTGTCCCCCTGGCCTCCCCCGGCCCCAGGCACCCCGCTGGGCCCAGCGCTTTACAACCCCAGAGGAGCACTGCAGCCAGGCATTCAACACCAGGCCCCGCGCCACTTCTCATGCACATGCAGCCATATAGTGAGCTATACCCTCATTCACAAACCCATCAACAACAGACACACACAAACTACAACTAAAGAAACTATGAGAAATGGGTCTCCACCACCACCATTCACTCCGAGCACAACAGGCCTGGACCAAAACACTTGCTAATAACCATACACTCACACACAGGCGTTCACACATGCCAGTTGCAGGCAAAGACCTCCAACAATTCCTCGCAAGACTTTATGTTGGCATCCATAAGATCTGCTGCCCTCTTTCTGCCACCTCAGGACTAGCAACGCTGACAGTGAGCAAGAAATAAACCCTGGTTACCTTTGGAGGTGGTTTCTTCAGCAGCACCAGCAGAGCCTGTAGCACCATGTTGGAGAAACGAGGCCCAATAGGAACGTAATCTGACGACACATAATTTTATTATTTCATTTCCTCGGTCTCATCACGTCTGATTCAAATAAAAAGTAAACTGAGTAGAAAACCGCTAAATATTTTGGGCTCTCTCGTCTTACCCAACAAGCGCTCGATGTCGTCCACAACCACACAGCTCAGCTGGGATTTGTAAGCATCTTCAAATATCTGCCAAAGGGAAACAAAAAGGTACAACCTGATCGCCATCAAAGAAAAAACACCAGCAAACACTAAAAATAACTACTAGTATTTTAAAAATGACATTACTACGCTAGCATCTTAATCCAAACATCCGGTATTTATATGCTGTTACCTTTTTGATGGCTTGGCATTTGGCGATCTCAGAGTGTCCGATCATCTTGTCCGGAGAACAGATCTTGATGAAGGGAAACTGGGAATCCTCAGAAATCTTAGCCGCCAGTGCCGTTTTGCCGCTGTTAGGCGGGCCTGGCGGTGAAAAGAAATCACTGGTCAGCTATTTTAATTGTTAGTAAAGCAGGCCGCTGTCCTCACCTTATTTTATTTGCCCTATGTGTTTGGGTTGCATGACCCAAACACATAGGGAGAGTGAGAGTTACCTTCCAGCAGCACAGAGACTAGTGGCGTGCGGTCACTGTTCTTTGTCTGCTGCACCAGCAGCTCCCCGTCCTCCAGGGCTGCTGACACTGGGTCACCCCACCGGATTATGCCGTTCATGATGTAGCTGGCGTAGTCCTCCTGGTTGGTTCCAAATGCCTGAAGAAGTGGTACGAGGAGAGGAAAACAGAAAGTGAGACTCTAATTTTGTTTGCCTGCACGAGCTCAACCGAGAACGGAAATATTAGTTATAAAAAAGGTATTTCCTCTGTGTTGTAGTCTTGTATAACCTGCACAGGTGCGTCATCTGTATCCAGTGAAGTTTAATCACAAATAAATATAATTTACAAGTATTGTGGATATAATTCCTGCTTATACCTGGACTGCTTCTTATAACATTTAGCAGGTGAACAGGTTCAATTCAGGTGTAAAATAGTGTTGAGAGGCCCCTGAAGCATATCAAAAACAAAACTCGTGCCCAGAGTGGAAAAAACTGTTTATATTTATATGCAAAACTTCAAAAAATCAGCTTGACTTCATAATACTGTCATCCCAGGTTTTAGTTACAGTCTAATGAGGAGAAAAGACCAGATTATTTAGAGGCATCTTTCACAGATTCCAGCCTGCCACTAAATTTCAAGAGATTTAAGTGTTGCAAGTCAAAACACTTTTGCAAAGGTTGTGGCACAACTGATCGTTTAGCATAAGGTGGTTTTAAACTAAGTGTCTCAAGTGAGCCTGATAAAAACAAACAAGGTAAATCCTAGCCTAGCTTCTTTCTTTTTTAAAAAAATCTTGACTCATGCAAATAGTGTTCAATCACATAAATATTATTAACAACCAACAGGAGCACTCAGTTCTCTCAAGCAGGTCACATGCAGCTTCTGTTTCTGCACCATCATTCAAAGTTTGTCTCTTTGCAAAGATCCACCAGCAGCATGACTGGACTGCAAAATCTCAAAGTCTGTGATTAAAACTCAGACTAATGATGCATGGATTTCGATGTCAGAGTGCGCCCAATTTTGACGTTTATTAGTCTTCTTGTCTGTGGTGGGCGTTAGATTAAAACACAATGGTGAATGGCGTACGATAAGACAAACCGACAAACTTATCCAAAACTCAGGTTTTCCTTTATATTTTAGAAACAACATTTCTCTCAAATATTTCAGGATGTTTCACGGATCATGTTATGGAATAATGAAAAGGCCAGAGAAAGTGGGAATGGTTGAGTTAAACTTCAGGTTATTTTGACCCATTTCTGTAATATATTTACACATCTATATTATTGCTAATATATATTGTAATATATCTATATACAATCTATATATATATCTATATCACTAAAGCACTTCTGGATGGATGCAAACTGCATTTCGTTGCCCTGTACCTGTGCATGTGCAATGGCAATAAAGTTGAATTCTATTCTATTCTATTATTAATGTCACTTTTATTTCACTGTACTTTGCATTTCATGTTTAAGAACTTAAGAGAGACATGTGCACAGTAACTTACGGGTTTGATGTCGTTATTCAGCGAGGCCATGAAGTCTATCCTGCTGACCTGCAGTTTTTCCGCCGTCTCCATGTTTACCTCCACGGTGTTGCTGGCCTACATCAGAGCAACAGACAAACAGCACAGGTACAGAGACGGCAAATTGCTTCGGATGAACTCCGTACCCTGTCTCGTGAAATCCATTAAATGAAGTACTGCACATGTAGATTGCAAAATGTGTCAGAAGACAATGTACTCCCTCAGAGCAGAAAGGTCAGACAGAGAGACGGAGGGAGGGAAGAATAAGTGCCTAAAGGAGTGAAGAGAAACATCGCTGCCATCAGACATGTGTCTGTCATTTATCATCACCCTCCAATATCTGCTGCTCTGCGGGGGCAGAACGCTTAACAGATGAGAACTTCACCTTATCTTTGTGCCTTACTGAGCAGTATAGATTTGAGCCAATGCACCTGATAAAACACTTAAGGGAGGGCACACACACAAGCACACACACCTGGATACCTACCCAACCCTTCGACACCTGGGTGGCTGCTTAAACTGGCACTATAATAACATATATTATGCCCACCAGGTGTGTGGCCTGCTACTTAAGCCAGGAACATGACACTGTTCCCGTCAGTGCTTTTGAAAATAATGTATTTAATATAAAAAGAACAGGTTTGCAAAAGTTGAATACATTTTTTGCATTACTTCTACTTTCCTTCTTCTCTTCCTTCTCCTTCTTCTTTCTTTGTATTTGCTTTTTATAGTGCGCATTGGCTTGTGGAAAATACTGGTTGCTTGCCAATATTTTAACTCATATATATATATTGCTCTGAGGGCATTTTACTATTATTTCCTTGTTTTCTATAACCCACAAAGCATACACATTAATAACTGGACAGTAAATAAGCTCCTTGGACTGACCTTGATGTGTCTGTTCATGGCAGTGGACTGAGCAGCTCTGACCAGACCCTCCAGTTCAGCACCGCTGTAGTTCTTGGTTTCCACAGCCAGCTCTTTAACGTCGACATCGCTAGCCAGCAGTTTGTTGTCCCGCATCCTCGCTGTGTGAATGTTGAGGATCTGAATTCGCCCCGTTTCATCCGGTAAGCCTTGAAGAATAAAGCGGAAAAGGAAATAGAGACAGTGACCGCGTGTGGTGTACTGGTTCTGTAGTGCACACAGTCAAAGAGTCACAGCTGATAATAACAGTCTTGCATCCATTGAGCTTTACCAGTAAGGCTGCTGGTATTAACTTGCAGAAATCTGCATAAGATACATTACTTCTTCATTTGATAGCACGAGTATTACTTATTTACACTGTTTTTAAGACTTTCTGACCCACAGTAGAAGTATTTTCACTGATTTTCTATTAATTATTTGAGCAAATACTTTAACTAATTACTTCATAGGTTTTAAATAGGGATGCAACGATACCAATTTTTTCAAACCGATACGATACC